ATGAAAAAGAAATTTTGAGAGCCACCGTTCTATGAGATAGAAAACAGTTGTCATCGACCACAGAGAGGGAGAGGTTGGCAAGAAGATGAGAGGCCTGGTTTGGGGCCCGTCGGATAAAGACTTCTGTCCCAATAAGACGTACCACTGATGACACCCTACTATGTGTCAGCCTTATTCTCAGACGGTGCATGTCCATGTTTCCATTTACTCTTCACAAGAAACCCTATAAAAAGCAGCTATTATCATTCTCATTATAGACATAAGAAATCTAAGATTCAGACTGAATTCTTGCCACCAGCTCATCCAGCTGTCCTCCAAATTCCAATCAAGTTCGGCATGACTCCACCGTTGGGCTTTTGTTTGTCCCTGTCACCCTTCCCAGAAGGGAGCCCACGTCGTCTCCAAATGATCACGGGGACAATTATATGCTGTTCTGGTTCGGGGGGGGGGGGCAGGGTGCACCCTAACCCTGTTCTCTGGAGGGTCTGGGTTTTCTTACTGCTTGCTCGCAAATGAGGTGCCAGTACAGCTGCAAAGGGGGCAAGTGAATGGCATCCAATCCCCTTCCTAACCCACCCGGTGAGAGGAAGGGATCCTGGCAGGTGAGACTCCCAGTGGTCTCTTCATTGTCCTTCTCAATTTTTCCTAGGGGCTCTTGGAAGGCCTCCCCTGCACTTGGTTCAGAAGTTTCTGCTTTTGCCCCAAACCAGTAGGAACCAATCAGAAAACCTGAAGCAGCAGATGTCTGCCTTCATCCATCCAGGGAGGCTTACGGGGAAGCAGCCCAACTGTTGTTCTTATCACAAATGTTTAAAAACTTAATAACATGAATGGGCAAGTGTGCAAGCACGGGCTGCTTGACATCTGGACGGTCTTGCATCATCTGAGCTGCCTTTTCCTTTTGTCTGATACATTGCTTTACATGTCTGGTCACCATTCTGTTGACACTGCTCTTTGGATCAGCCAGGCTAACAAAACCGCCAGACAGACACTGAGTGAGGCAGGGCAGGGGTGGAAGATTACCAGGTGATCATTTGAAGGGTGTAAGGAAGGCTGCTAACCCATAAGGAAACGTCTAGTGCTCCCTCACATCCTCAGTGTTTTTCTTTTTCCCAACAGCTGTTGGATCCCACCCTGTGCCGTTTAATTACACGTGCATGTCTCAGTAGGCATTTATCACATAGGTCAGGCTTCCCCCGCGAGCTTTAGAAAGCAAAGGCCTGGGTTCAAATTCCAAGTCAATCACTCACTAGCTGTGTCTCCTCAGACATGTTAAATAACTTCTCTGAGCCTCAGTCCACTCATCAGCAAAACAGAAGCAGTAATAGCATATTAAACTTTCAGAACTGCTAGAGGAGAACTTTTTTTTAATTGTTTTTTTAGTGTGTATTTATTTTTGAAAGAGAGAGACGGGGAGGGGCAGGGAGAAAGGGAGACACGGAATCCAAAGCAGGTTCCAGGCTCTCGGCTGTCAGCACAGAGCCCAACATAGGGCTCGAACTCACCGCGAGATCATGATCTGAGCCGAAGTTGGATGATTAACTGGCTGAGCCACCCAGGAGCCCCCAGAGAAGAACGTGTTAAAAATTTTTGTATAAATCAGTTATCACAGCACCTAGCTCAGTAAATGCTTCTTGAGGGCCTTCTACGTGCCAGATACTATTTAAGGACCTGGAGATAATGATAGTGGACAAAAAACATAGTCCCTTCTCCCATGAGGTTTATAAAATAGTGGTAGAGACAGACGATAAACACATACATTTACAACCATGCTGTCAGGAAAAAGTGCCGTGGAGCAAAATAAAGCAGGGTGAGGGGATAGAGAATGGCAGAGGGCAGAGCAAATGCTGTTACTGATAAGGTGGTCAGAGGAGATCTCTCTGCAGAAGTGACCTTGGAAAAGAGGTGTGAATGAGGTGAGGGAATAATAAAACAGACGGATATCTGGGGCAAGAGCATTTCAGACAGAAGGAAGATCAAGGGCAAGGGGGTCTGAGGCTGGCTCATGTTTTTTTCATTCAGAGAATAGCACAGAGGCCCCTGTGGCTTAGTAGTAGTTGAGGTTAGGGAAGGAGCCAAAGGAAAAAGGAAGGGAGACATAGGTAAGCAGACGAGTAAATACGGTGACATTCATTCATGTGTTCATAACATCTTCGTATCTTGAGTGAACTCCGCTAGATACTGTGACAAATACAGAGATAAATCAGAAGGAGAATTTCTCTTTGATGAACCTTGAACCATCAGTCTGGTAAGGATAAAAATATATAAATAATTAGATAAGAAAATAATAGATGTCACAAATGAAATGTGGCTCTCATAGCTACCCCCACTACCAGAAACTTGGAAAGATTAATAAAAGACACATATTTACATAAGGACTCTAACACAACTGTGCTTACCATGCTCAAAGAGGTAAAAATTGAACTTAAAATATTTCAACAATCAACTGAAGTTAAATAATTATAAATTTGAGGGGCACCTGGGTGGCTCAGTCGGTTAAGCGTCCGACTTCAGCTCAGGTCATGATCTCACAGCTCGTGAGTTCGAGCCCCGCGTCGGGCTCTGTGCTGACAGCTCAGAGCCTGGAGCCTGTTTCAGATTCTGTGTCTCCCTCTGTCTCTCTCTGACCCTCCCCTATTCATGCTCTGTCTCTCTCTGTATCAAAAGTAAATAAACGTTAAAAAAATTTTTTAAAAAAATTATAAATTTGATATAAGAATCAAATAGACAGTCTAACATTTAAAAACTCCAATAATCAAAGTGAAAATTTCAACAGATGGGTTTAGTAACAGATTCAACACAGAAAGAAAGAGAATTAGTGAACCGATAGACAGGTCAGAAGAAATTACCCAGAATAAAACAGAGAGAGACAAAATGATGGACAATACAAAGATGAGCAGAATACAGTGAGCAGACTTAACATATTTTTGTCACGGATACTAGAAGGGGAAGTTGGAAAAAGAACAGCAAAATAATCTCCCAAATACATGGAAGGAAGGAAATAAAAGAGATAAGAGCAAAAATTAATGAAACAAAAACAAAATAGACAGTATTCAAAGGGCAAAATTTGAATCTTGGAAATGACCAATAAAATTGATAAACCTCTGTTGAGACAGACCCAGACAAAAAAGGGGAAGATGCAAAAAATTAATGTCAGTGTTGAAACAAAAGTCATTACAGATGTTGCAGACATTAGCAAGATAATAAGGGAATATTGTAAGCAACTCTGTCGATAAGTTTGAAAATTTAGATGAAATAGACAAATCCTTCGGAAAACATTACTTACTGAAACCAACAAAAAAGAAATTTAAAAATCTGAATAATCCTATAGCTATTAAAAGAATTACCTTTTAAATTAAAAATAAACTCATCAGGGCACCTGGGTGGCTCAGCGGTTGGGCGTCCGACTTTGGCTCTGGTCATGATCTCACGGTTGACGAGTTTGAGCCTCACGTTGGGCTCTGTGCTGACATCTTGGATCCTGGGGCCTCCTTTGGATTCTGTGTCTCCCTCTCTCTCTGCCCCTCCCCGCCTCACGCTCTGTCTCTCTCTCTCTCTCTCTCTCTCTCTCTCTCTCTCTCAAAAATGAATAAACATTTAAAAAATTTAAAAACATACAGAAATAAACCTCTCACAAATAAAATATCTTTGATGGCTTCAGGCAAATTTTAAAGATGTTTAAAGATATAATGCTAATCTTATACAAACTCTTCCAGAAAATAGAAAAAGTGAGAACACTCTCCACTTTATTGTGTGAGGCTAAAGTCATCTTCATATTGAAACCCAACAAGAACAGCATAGCAAAGAAAATTACAGGCCAATTTTACTCACGAACATGTGGAAAAATCCTAAACAGAATATTAACGAGTCAAAGCTAACAATATATAAAAAGGAAACACAACATGTTCAAATTTGGCTTATTCCAGGATGCTGGTGTAAATGTTGCTTTATCGTGAGAAAATCAATGTAATTTGCCGCCTGTTAAGATCAAAGGGGAGAAAATCATCTATTCGTGTCAATACATACAGGAAAAAAAGCATTTGCTAAAATTCAATATCCATTGGTTATTCAAAATCTTAAAAACTAGAAAAAAGCAAACACTGAAGTAATCTGGTAAAGAATAGCTACAAAAGACCTATAACAACCAATACATTTCAAATCAAAACTTCGAAAATGTTCCCTTTGAGATTGTGGAGAGTACAAATATGGTTACTCTCACAACATCCATTCTGCAGTATTTTGGAGGTCCCCTACAGGCAAGGAAAGAAAATAAAAGAAAACGCATAAGATCAAAAAGGAAGGAATGCAATTATCATTATCTGTGGATCACATTATTAACTACATAGAAAATCCATGGGAATCTGCAGATAGTTTTTAGAATTTAAGGAAGTTTCAGACGGTTGCTAGATACAAGGTCAACACCAAAATATGAATTAAATTTTTATCTACCAACCACAAATTCTAAACTTCTTTTTTTAACTGTGTTGTTAGTGTTTTATTTATTTTTGAGAGAGAGAGAGAGAGAGAGAAAGAGAGAGAGAGACAGGTGCGAGTGGGGGAGAGGCAGATTGGCAGACACAGAATCTGAAACAGGCTTCAGGCTCCAAGCCTGACGTGGGGCTCGAACTAGTGAACTGCGAGATCATTGCCTGAGCCGAAGTTGGATGGTTAAAACCAACTGAGCCACCCAGGTGCCCCTATCAACCACAGATTTTATAAAATGGAAAAAACTTTGAAAATAACATTTACACTAGGATTTAAACATATCCAAATTTTAGGGGAAAATCTAACAAAAGGTGTAGAAGACCTCTGTGCAAAACATTCTAAAACATTGGGGCACCCGGGTGGCTCAGTCCATTAAGTGTCCAACTTCAGCTCAAGTCATGATCCTGTGGTCCGTGATTTCAAGCCCTGCCTCTGGCTCTGTGCTGATGGCTCGGAGCCTGGACCCTGCTTCAGATTCTGTGTCTCCCCCTCTCTCTGCCCCTCCCCCCCTCACACTCTGTCTCTCTCTCAAAAATGAATAAATGTTTAAAAAATTTTTTTAAACATTATAAAACATTATTGAAAGAAACTAAAGAAGACCTGGATTAAAGGAGAGAAATTCTGTTACTGAATTAGAACACTTGATATTTTCAGTGTCGATTCTCCCTTGATTCAGCTGTGAATTCGGGATCTTTTTCAGAACTTCACAAACACTTTCTACAATTTGTATGGAATTGCCAAGGTCTAAGAAGAGCCAAGGCCTTCTTGAAGTCGAAACACAGCATCGGAGGCTTTCGTCTGTTAGGTACGGAGTCTTACTATAAAAATGATTAAGACCAGCCCTTTCAGTCAATGGTATAGATGAAGGTAGGCATCACTCGTGTTTTCCAATATCTGGGTAGCCTCCCCTTCCAGGCATATGGCGGACAGCACTTCACAGCCCTTTGCTCATGAGTCTAACTCTTACTGAGAGAGTCACTGGCTAATGGGTTGTAAGAGGAAGTGAATGATGAGTGACGTTTCCTGGGGAGCCTGTGAAAACCTCATGGGCACTTTCCAGTCTCACTTCTTGGGATAGAGAGTGCTCCCAATGGCGCAGAGACTTCATTCATGAAGGACAGTTGCCCTGACGCATATTCTGTATCACCAGTGATCTGCTAGTAAAGAAAACAATAACTTTAGTATGTTAATCCATGACATGTTGGGGTTATTCGTTACCCAAAACAAAGCATAGCCCACCCTGTCTTGTCCAACATACAGACAGTCCGATGGAACACAGGAGTGCCCAGAAAGAGAGCCACCGTGCGCGGACCATTGATTTTTCAACAAAAAGTGAAATTGCAGAGTAGTAGGGAAAGAATGGTCTCGATACACACCTGGATATCCATTTGGGGCGAAAAATAGAACTTGTCCCTACCTTATGCCATCCACAGATGTCAATCTAGGTAGATTGCTAACTTTATCTGAAAGGCAACAACTGTATAAAACTACAAATTGTTAACATTTAGAAGAAAATATAGGAGAATTTTTCATAACGCAGGAAAAGGTTTTCTAAGTAAGAAATAAAGAATGTTAAATATAAAGGAAAAGAGAGTTACATTGTATTCTATTAAATTTCATAGGAAAAAAAGTTTCATTAAGAAAGAAAATGGCAGAAGGGAATACCTAAATTTTAATAATCACTATCCCTGGGAAATTACATTATAGGCTGAACTTATTTCCTTAATTTTGCTTATCTCTTTTTGCAAATATTCTATGATGAATGTGGATCTCTTTTGTAATAAGAAGGAAAAAACAATAAGAAGTTACTCACTATTGTTTGTCTTTATGATCTAGAAGAGAAAATCCAAAAGTTGAGGATGTAAAATAAGAATTTTCCAGACATTACTCTTTCTTGTTTGTTAACTCAAAACTCAAAGGAAACCCAAAGGAAAAGAATCCTAATGGTAACATTTCAGGCAATGTGGTGGGTGGATGGAGGTGAGATATGATGGTCTTTGTGGCCGTCCTCATGGCTCCTTTCTATTTAGCTACTAGAACATCATCAAGACAGACTGACACGACTTTTTTAAAGCCTTCCTGTTGTAGATTCATAGTCCCTAGTGTCGGAGTGAGGTGCCCTTGGGAGGTCTCCTCCCTGTCTCCCTCTTCCATTTCTGGTCTTCTTCCACTGATAGAAAATATACTTTGGCCTGAATGGATTTCCTGGAGTTTATCAGACCTGGAGACGCAAGGCCACTGGCCCCGCCCTGGGTGGCTGTTCATCCGGCCAGTGATGGATATTGGAGCCTCCCCCTTCCTTTGGTGGTGCAACTCCAGACCCTTTGTAAAATCTTTATTGGATACAAGTTTGACTCCGAGCAGCCTGAATATAAAGACCTTTTAAGATCTAAAGTGCTTATAAGGATACTCATTTTTATTCTTGCTTTTACAGTTTTATTGGCTCTTATTTATTCATTGAACATTTATTGGGCACAGGTAGTAAACTCCTCATAGACCATAGCTCCTACAGCCCTGAGAATTCACTGCCTAAATGCTGGATTCTGGCAAACCATAGAATGGGAATGTGGAGGATGAGGGTCATCCCCAAGACAAATGAGCCATCAGCAGGCAGAAATGGCGAGGCCCTCTGGATAAACGGGGTTTCGGTGGGTTCAGAGATTCTAAAGTCCCCAGCAGTGGTCACAAAGGATCTGGAATAAGGGTGGGCAGCTCGCTGGAAGGGCATTAACAGTAACCACCTTCATCGTCATCATTAGTATTTACTGAACACTTACGACGTTGCACAAAATACACCAGGCAGTTCACATACATCATCTCATTGACTATCACTGTAACCCTGGGACGTATGCAATATTGCCCCCTTTTAGAAAATGAGGAAACTGAGACTCAAAGAGGTTAGGTAATTTGCCCAAGGTCCCGTGGTTATTGAGCCGGGGAATCTAAATCTGTCAGGCTGGAAATCCTCATCCCTTTTTCTCTAACAGTAACTGCAGCTCCGGGATAACTGGTTGTTATCCCACAACTTAATAAAGCATTTCAATTTCGTGCCCTTGTGAGAGAACACGCAAACCTGGATTTCTGAAGGCTGTCTGTATCTGGCATCAGTTTGTTGAGAACTTCCTGTATTTGAGATATTGCCCCTGGTAAGGTGGGGACAAAGTGGTCCCTGGGGCAACACGCCGCCAGGAGTCCCAGGTGAGGTGATGCATACTAAATGCCACACTCTGAGCCTAGCACGGAGGAGGACGGTCCCTAGAGCAGCCTCCGGTGTCATGTGGCTGTTCCTCAGGCACCACACTGCCGACTATCCCTGCCTTCACAGGTAGTGGGAACACCTCCAAACAAAAACAGATTCTCGCAGCTTCTTGGATCCTGGTGCCAACAGCTTCCTTTGGGAGCATCTCTCCTCATGTCGTGCGTTCGCGTTCTGAGTGTCCTGCAGATGTGACACTGATGTCACCAAGTCTCTAGGCCCTAAGCTGGCTTGCTACCACGGAGCCTTCATGTCACAACAGGAACATGATGAGATAGTGACTGGTCCTCCAGAAACTCCGGTAAGTTTCTGTATCAGATCCTAAAGATGGGGGACAGCGTCCTGAAGCACAATGTGGAGGCTAAAAGACCAAAGGTTGACTTAGGGAAATTAGGGTGTGACTATTGGCTCTGCTCCTTTGGCTGTGTGACTTTAAGCTAGTTACTCAACCTTTCTGAACCTCTATAATAAATAGACAGCAGGGGCGCCTGAGTGGCTCAGTTGGTTAAGCGTCTGACTTCAGCTCAGGTCACGATCTCGCTGTCTGTGAGTTCGAGCCCCGCGTTGGGCTCTGTGCTGACCCCTCGGAGCCTGGAGCCTGCTTCCCATTCTGTGTCTCCCTCTCTCTGCCCCTCCCCCACTCTCGCCTTCTCTCAAAAGTACATAAACATTAAAAAAAATTTTAAATAGATAGCGATCGCTGCCTCACAGATTTGCTGACATTACTATAGGATAGATACAATGATGCTAAGTGCTTAGCACAGGGCCCAGTCCATAGGAACCACTGAATAAAAGTTCGCTACTATTACGTTATTATGAAACGCAAATAAACAAATGGACCCTACTATGAGATCTGTTCTACGGGTTAATAAGCAGTTGCTCTAAATGAGTTGTCTCCCCCACTGGATTGGTGTTCCGTTTGAGGTCTTTGAGCAAATCACCCCAACTCTTCCGGTGCAGTATGTCCTGATGTGCACGGTGCAAGGGCTCGGGGGGCGGGAGGCTCGCAGGCTTAATTAACTACTAGATGCGCTAGCTGCACACTCAAGATGAGACGGTTGGCAAGTCTATTTGAAATGTGTAAGGACAAAGTAATTTGGCTGGGAGGTAGCATTAGGAGAACTGACCCGCTCTGGGCCTCAGCTTCCCCATCTGCATGAGAAGGAGGCTGGGCTTCATGCTGCCCTCTTGCATCTCTGACCTTCATGAGCAAAGCAGTCTGACTCTGGGAGGACCGTCCTAGCCCCTGGTGGGAGCATCTGGCAATGCCTACTCCTGCGGAGCCCGGAAAAGTTGGCGTCCAGTGCGCTTCTCCGGGCAGAGTTTTGCAGGGCTCACGCGGGCCCAGAGCTCGTGCCTACCGTCCACCGCCCCCTAACCTCCCTAGGACCCAGCAATTCCAACGTCTCCCAGCCCCCGCCTCTTTCCCTCCCCCCGCCGCCCCCACCCCTTGTGCAATCACAGAATGCAAAACTCTAGCCTGAGTTCCCACTCCCAGCAGAGAGGAGGAATCTCTAAACAGAGGCCCTGTCTGTTTCCAGCATAAACTGCCTGAGGTGTTCAGAAGGAAAGTTCCTTCTTTCGTCCCCAGCTTTGGAGAATCATTCTTATATTTAAAGAGAGAGAGAGAGAGAGAGAGAGGAAAAAAAATCATTCTTTCGCACTTTCACGGGAGAAAAAAAAAAAAAACTGGCTACGAAACTCGGCTTTTTTCCCAGAATGAAAACTTGCTTGGGGGTTAAGGAAACATCGCCACCTAGTGTAACGATGCTGAAATAAGTAGACTGCGTCTCCAAACAAGTGAAGTCAGAGTCCCAAAGAGAGAAGAGCCAGAAGAGCTGGGATCCAACTCCTTTCCTTCGACTAAGGGAAACGTTGTAGAGAGACGGTTTGTGAATGTCACGGCTAGAACCCAGATCTCCCGACCCTTTATGTCAATTCAGCCCTCACCCTCCCTACACCCCCTCCGCCAGGCTTATGCTCACCCCACACTTTAGCTTAAACGGACTCCGTAATTGAGGCCAGCACAGACAGGATCACCTTCACCCTGCATGCTGCCTCTTGCTTTTTATTGATTTCACAGAATTCAGAAGAGGAAGACCAGAGGCACTTTCAACCGGCAATCGGCATAGAAAGGAGGCAGATTGGACACCAGAGGTAAGAGCATGGACAGATAGATGAGGGAGCTGAGAATTCTTCATATTTCCAACTCAGGAGTCGGTGATGGCAACAGGGCATGACTAGTAAGCTCATCTTCTTCTCTCTCTGAGCCCACAAGAAATATATGACGTAATAGTGGAGAGTGCTTCCGTGTCTAATTGGAATACATGCGTGCTGAAGAAGGCCAGCTCCGGTGACCTGAGTATGGAAATCCTGTATTTATGCAAAGGGTGAGAATCTATTATTGTGTAAATTGAGCTATTTTCTTATAGGCACAGCCGCTTCTGCCTCGTATTTGTATATAACTTTGCAGTTCACTACAGGCTTCAATCTATTTAAAATTACTTAATCTTGGGGCGCCTGGGTGGCTCAGGCAGTTGAGCGTCCAACTTCGGCTCAGGTCATAATCTAGCAGTTCGTGGGTTCCACCTCCACATCAGGCTCTGTACTGACAGCTCAGAGCCTGGAGCCTGCTTCAGATTCTGTCTCTCTCTCTCTCTCTCTCTCTCTCTCTCTCTCTCTGCCTCCCCCCTGCTGTGATCTCTCTCTCTCTCTCTTTCTCTCAAAAATAAATATTTTAAAACAATAAAATAAAAAAATAAAATTATTCAATCTTTACAAACACCTTTTGGGGGAATAGTCATTACCAATGAGGAAACAGAGGCTCCGAGAAGTTAAGCAATTTTCCTGAGGTCACACAGCTACCAGTCAGCAGAGACTTGGAAGGAGAAAACGATATTT